ATCACAGGTACCTTTCCACATATAAAGAGTTTTAGATTTTATCTAGAACTGTTTCAAATAGCTGTGTTGGACAGACAATTGCAAATTATTACACAGTATAATTCTTTGTAATAGATATACAGCACTAAATGATAGGTGATCAGTTACGAAGGTCAACCCACTTACTTGGGATCAGTGATTCGTATCAGTTCTCTGGCCAGGCGTCCAATAAAATTGACAGATGTAGTGTCTGTTGGAGGAAACTTTGGAATAGGAATAGTCTTACTCTGATGAACACTCTGCCAATCCTGAACTTTGTTACGCAGGAAACTGTTGCACTCCTGTTCAACATTGTAACTAATAATGCGTGACACTTCTTCTTGCCATATCTTCAACCCGTATATATTCACGTAGTCCTGGATGTACTCAAAAGAGCGACGATATCCATCCATTATCTTCCCCAAAGCTTCTAATTTTCCCAACAGTTCACTTGTCTAAAACACACCACCATGTTCTATGAGTGTTTTTTTAATTCTCTTATATCTGATCAGGTCACTGCACCAAAACATAAAAATTAAAAATGAAAGAGAATTCATGAGACTAAAAACTATTTAAACAGAGTAACTAAATTAGTGTTGAAAATCAAAGCAATTCATGCAGAGTAGCCCATGGAAATGAATGTTTATTAATTGCAAGGAAGGCAGACATGCATGTCCTTTACAGGCATGCAAATGACAAAAGCGAGGAGGCCAGGTACCTCCACCAGCAAAGTTTTCCACAAAAATGTTCAAATAGATGTTCAGAGCCCCCACTTAATGGTACTTGCACCTTGTCGTGGTGGTGGGGCTTGAGTACCTCAGTGACCCCAAGAGCTATGCTGGCAGTAGCATAGCTACTGGTAGGGCCTCCCTAGCCAGATTGGTCGAGGGGGAGAGGTCAGACTAAGACAGGTACCCTGGTCCTCCAGGTTGGGGGTTGGTCGCAAAGCTAACAACCTTGCACCATAAAAAGGAAGATGTTTCGAAACCTCGATCAAAGCCTCGGACAGACGGACCGAATGGAAGAGGAGAATTGAGGAGGCCATGGACTGAACATGGACCGGAGAGCCATAGAAGAAGATGTTCAGAGCACTTTCTATGAAATCTCTGCTTTGAGTGCAGGGGAGTAATGAGAGTATGATAAACTTTGCAGAAAAAAGTAGAGGAGACCTCTGCTTTATATGGACTGTCTCTGATGCTCTGATATGCAGAACTCACCCATATATTTGTGTCAAGTCTTTAAGTTACAACCTGCTCATAATGTGTAAATTGAAGCATAACTCTATAGACACAGGCATCAGTATTACCTTAGCCTTTGGGTTGAAAGTAAGTCCATTGTGAAGGGCAGTTGCAATGTGCTTCACCAGCTCCTTACGAATACCATCCTCTAGGAGTTGTTTCGGGTCAACTCTAATAATCCCCACCAGAGTACTCTTCATCATCAAGATGCCTTCAGTGAACACAGATACAGAATGGGTTAATCTTGCAACCTGTGGGAAACATAATCAGATTCACAGGCAATCAATTTAACAACAGTTAATCTTCATGACATGACCACCACTTTCCCCGGTACAGCACACCATCTTATCCATCTCTCCTCAACCCCAGATTTTATATTCGCTACAGTCTCTTCCAAACTTTAGTCCCAAAAGCTTCTGCTGAGTCTCCCACATGTAAGAATGCAATGTGTCAAATATACAACAACTTACTTTTATTCACAACAAAGAATGCAGGTGCACAAATTATGTGATAAATGCAGTTAATACTGGAAACATAAAGTTCATAATTAGTATAATGTTGTAAAATGGATCTTCATGACTAACCTCATGACGGTCTTCCAGTTGTGCATATTCCCTAAGGCGATCTTTATCAAGTCGAGTAGGGAGCTCTTTGATGACCGATGTCTGAAGGGAAACTATTCGAGCCATCAACCCAAACATAGTTTCCGGGATAATATGCAGAACTTTTCGAACATAACCAACCAATTCACCAGAGTAATACTGTGACACTGATACCAGATCAGGACTGTGTGCTTGATTGATACGTAACAGAGGAATTTCCAATGCTGAAGATAACTGAAAACATGAACAGCAAATATTTATGAAGTCCATTTTGTGTAACAACTTATTCTAACAGATGATATCACAGTAGAAGAGATAAAATCAGAAAATGTTGACACTAAATGAGATCTGTAACTCTGACTATATAGTGCAGAATGACAAGATGATTAGTAAGTAGTAAATTTGAAAGGATGTGGAAGGAAATGATTGTGGCTTAATTCAAGGTGCTATACTGACATTTGTCTGGAGGGACTAAAAAAATCCACAAACTTCAGTCACAATAGTTGGTCCTCAAGCCAAGATTTGAACCCAGGACCTCCTTGGGGAGCAACAAAAAAGGAAGAAGAAAAGACAGAGAATAAGAAAACAGAATAACAGAAAGAGAATGAAGAATATAAAAAGTAAAAGAGGCAGAATGAATAGATAAAAAGAATAGAAAATAGATGTGGCAGAGAAGAGAGGAGACATTGAGGAAGGAGGGAGGAAGTTAGCAGAATTTTAATACAGTTAACATGTATCCTTATACCACACACTCTCCCTCACCTTGAGGAATGTCGCACGAAGTTTGATGACCAATGAAGGATCCTTCTTGATTCCTTCCTGCATGATACTGGTGTATGAATCAACAATTTCCCATGCATAACTAAGATCTCCAACAATCTGCAGGGTGATGAGAACATCCTCTTTGATGTTGATGGTGCGAATCATTTGATGCAGGTATAGTCTTGTGTCAGCTAGGAACTGTCGCACTTGTAGATTACTTTCTAACTGGTGGAACTCTGACAAGGGGCCAGTTTCCATTAATAACAATAACTGTTCAATACATGAAGTACATTTAATACAGATAGACCTACATGGCATTTTCGGGTTTGTTCTAATCCCATCTTTAAGCGATAGATAAGTTTACATGTTTCGTTTTCTATATTAGTGATACCAGCTGGGGATAAACCCACATTTGTTTGAATACCCTAGGTTCCAAGTTTGATCTTGACTGCTGCCTCCAAAATCAAAAATTAAAATTAAAAAGAAAAAGCATCTGCCAGTATGATAACCAGTTACCTAAAGAAAGATAAGGTTCTCTAAATTCTACACGTTGGCCTATTTGTGTCACGCACCACATCAGTCAGTGATGATGGGCATAGGCAGTTCACATCATTTCAGTTGATTATCCACAAAGATTTAACTGCAATGGAAGATACATTTAATGAAATACACAATTTTTAGGTAAGATTTTGTACTTTTCTTACCTTGAACTTCCTGAAGAGCCTGTATAAGCTGCCCTATCTTTCTGCCTGATGCTGTTGCATCTTCATGCTTCAAGGAGTCTATTTGCTTCCCCATTGCTGCAAACCATGACTGAAGATTTTCTGTAAACAAGCACAATTTCGAAGTTACTAAGAAAATAATGCGGCAGAGTGCATTATTTTGCATTTCAGCTAACTTCTGTGTACTTGTAATTAACTGCACATACAAAATTACTGACCCACATAAAATAATCAGTAATAATTTTTATGATGGTGGTGCCAAAACCTAGAAGAAGAAGAAAGAGAAAAAGGAGATGAAGATTATCATCTTCATCATCACTGTTGTGTAAACCTCAGCTCTTACTGGTCCTTCGTGTTTTTGCCTTTATTGTGAAGTTAGAGCATACAGCCACAAAAAATATCACATAAACAGAACACGTTCAAAATGAAGAAGAGTAAATAGACAATGTTACAGCCAACTGAAGATGTTCATATCTATATTTACCATTTTTTTCAACTCTAGTGAGAGGCTTTGTCCCTGAAAACACCTCAGACAGCTCCATCATGCGCTCGACACCTTCTTTCTTGTATTTTTCCCATTTGTTCTGTTTCTCCATCAGCAACTTCAACATTAAACAAAAACATAGACAGTTGTCTAGATTCTTGTAGTCACAAAAGTACAACCCTGCCTTTCCAGCACAAATGTATTAACATAATTAAATGTAACTCACATGTTTGAACATATCTTTAATCTTGAGTTCAAATTGTGCTGTGTTCAATAATAATTCAAATACTTGCAGAGGATTACACTTGGCATCAGCAGTCACTTGGTCTCGAATTTGCTTGCACCGTTTATTCCCTTCCCAAGCTTGAAAAAAAAAATCCAAAAAACACTTTAAAATCAAAGGATCATTTTCCAGGTATTTTGTGAAAAGGAAAGAGAAATTTGATGATCCACATTGACTTTCTGCAGCAAAGATTAGACAGTATGTAAACATAATTAAAGCAGAATCATGGCATCATATAAACCCTTGTTGAGGTTGTCATTAATCTACAGGATGAGGTAAGACCAAAATTCTTCAATACAACAACTAAACTGTGCTATTATATTAATTATTATTTATTAAAATTATGATCCTGAAATTAATGTAACTACTTTGTGATGTAGTATGTGTGTATGGTAAAAACAATGCAAATTTAAACCAAGATGGCCATCTTCTGGGTTGTAGCACCATGCAGTCTGGTAGAAGTTTACCAGACTCACCACCATGAAAACATCAAACCCTAATTTTTTACAAATGTTTTTGAATTAACCATATTAACCCATACTTAATCCAAAAACACATTTGTCTAAATTTGTCTTGATTAAGTATATTTCCCTATGAAAAACCAAAAGCTGTACAAAACTAGACCACATAAGAAATGGAATTATAAGAACTGAAATGAATATATATCCTGTAAATGATACAACAGAGCAACATCATAATAATTGGTTTCAACATTTAAATAGGATGCAAGATAAATGATTACCAAAAAGAGCACTTCAGTACGGACCTTCGGGAAAGAAAGATATAGGAAAACCAAAAAATATGGTGAGACATATTGTGAAGATGGAACAGATAAATTTCCTAATCAATGGAGCGATGCATGTAAAGACTTTCTGACACCTGATATTATGAACTGTATCATACCAGGACCAGGTGAGGATGCATGTAGCATGATCCAACGCAGAGTAACATTGCATTCACGGACCACATTTGTCACTTTGCTAACATGATCTAAGACATTCTCTTCAATCAATGCTCCTTCTTTCAACAGCTGTTGAGTATGAGGTATCATTTTCTGCAAAAGTAAAAAATCATAAATTACATGTCTTATGTTGATCAGGTTTCTTACTAATCAACTTACCCTCTCACATCAAATTTCTGTTTCCCGATAAAAAATCAAAGTGTCATATTTAGTCATTCACCCTGTGGTGAGATTTTAATACTGTAAATGTGCATACCCAAATGGAAGATAATGTTGAATTATACCTTCTTCTTGTTTTCATTTTTTTATTAAGGCCAGCATCAGTGGTGGGGAGAGGAGGTTTGTAATGATGATGGTAAGGAGAGGAGTCAAAACAGTTCACAAAATCAAGTGACCATCACAAACTACTTCTCAAAATAAACATCAATTGTGTATAAAAATTTAATTTGTGAAACAGATTTAACTGGTAAGAATTTCACTGTCACAATCTGTTAGGCAACAGCAGGGAATATCTTAACCAGCTGAATACTATTAAGGAGAACTCTGTTTCATACAGTTAAATGTACATCAAAGTTAAAGGCAAACAGTTTGTTAAGTACAGGTCACTGCCCACTCAATTTACATTCACTGCAGCATACAAACCAAGCCGTAAGATATTTTCAAGTGGTGCATTTGACTTAAGGTAAATGAAAACTTGGCAGACAATGTATAATGCAAAGCTGATTAATCAGAAGCTCAGTTTCTCACTCATTCAGTGTGATTAATAACAACTTTGACTGCACTTCATTTCTCTCAAATGTTTTAATATAAATGGACAGAATACAATTGAGATCTTAACCTGCATTCTTTTAGCATAACGGGCAGCAATGTCCAGCACATTGGAAGAGTCAAGAGTGTTACTCAGAGCTGTACGAGCTGCTTTATATGGTTCCCATGAGTCAACTAAATTCACTGTGATTCCCATGTAGATGCTTATCACCTAAACAAAAAAATTAATGTTCTAATATAAACAAACAAAACATACAATTTAATTACACAATTACATATGAAACACAACAGTTTTCACTAGTATGTAAATGTTTCTGATGCATAGTACAAACTCATAATTCAGCAACTAAATGTCTAGGTTAAGTGATTAGTACTTCTGTGCAGTGACAGCAAACTATGCTCTGTTCCTCCACACAAATACTGGAACAATGCCTTAAAACAGGCTACACCTTCCACCCACATTATTACTAATTCCCAATCCATCACAGAAGCCATATAATGTATATAAATAAAAAAAAAATTGAAGTTTCCTGAAAAAATTTGAATTCAGAATTTTTCCAAAATTGATGGTTTTGTGTGCCTTTTGGACAATTTCCAGGATAATTTGATTTCTTGAAAAATTTACAATATTCAAAAAAAATCAACACAGCTTTGTTTTTAATTTCACAATATTTCATCAACGGCAAAAGTTATCTTATGTCAAAACAACTATGAGGAAATATTAGACTATTACACAAACAAAAACCCTGGTGTAATGACTCACCCAGTTGTCAGGAAAGTACTTATCAACTATCTCTCGCATCTTGGCAGTTTGTGTATGAAGAACAGAAGGTGCAAAGAACAGACAAATGTACAGCATGGCTGCTTGAGTTGCTAGTGCAGTGCTGCGGTGTTCAGGGAAAGGGTACGCTGAAATCTGATTATATATATCATCTGACCTCAGCCGTCCCAGCACCATGTTTACATATAAAACATTCACAGGGATACGCCTGAAAACAAACACAGTGTTATGCGAAAGAAAAATAAATGAGAAATATAATTGGTATAAACATATTCACAGCAGAAAAGCAGATCGTACTTCTTTGCCTCTCATACCAGTCAGAAGGAAAACAAGCCTGCTAGATTTGAAACCATCAGTTCATTTAATTCTTGGTACATATCAGTGGTTGAGGCTGCACAAACTACACCAATTCATTAACAGAAAGCTGTTTCATCTACAATGCATAATGTGCACTTCTATGTGTCAGAACTTTTCCATCCATAACAAAAGGGATAAGAACATAAAAAATGCAGACACCAAATAAATGGCAATTGTGAAAACCAAGGACTAAATGGAAATATCAAATCAGGTAAGGTATTAAAATAAGAAGGGATTAAGCAAACACAAGAGAAGCTCTCATGTGAGGATAGAAACATGGTCATGAGTTTTTGATATTCTTTGTACTTCAGTGCAAGCAAAGAAAACCTTACAGGCCTATACAAGTCTGTCTGATTGTTGTATGTTTCATCACAACATTGCAAGAATGACGTTACATCAGTGTTTTAAAACAATGACCTTCAATAATACTGCTGCACTGATGACCTCAGACAGCAGAGTTGTATTTTTTTATTTCCTTTGTTGCCTTTATGACATCATCACCCACAATGGGGTAAAATTTCAGTTACTCTCAAAAGCACACCTTTCCAACCTTTGCTCATAAAATGACCTACCGAGATGAAAATGGTTGATGAACAAAATCTCAGGTATTGTAAATTCATGTATGTAAAATGGTACTAACTTGAAATAAACCTCTGGGTAGTTGGGTGCCCTCTTTGAGGCTGAAGTGTTAGTAAATCCAGTGGAGCGAAGCAACTTGCAGACATCATCGATATTGCTTTCTGTACTGGATCTCTGTGCACTGTAGCGGTAGTATGACACAAGCATTCTTTCCCTTACCACACCTTCAATATGAAGGTCCACTACAAGTAGCATCACTCCATATAAATAGAGTGCCTCACACTGCAAGGAAAGAATATCATGCACCATCTTATAAAGAAAAATCCACATATTTGCTTCTAACTTTCCAAGAGATATTAACTCCATGGTAATTGCTTGGCTGATCAAGAAGCTCACTATTCCTTTCAAAATCTTTTTGAACCCAAATATTTATTACCATGTTCACAGACCTCTTCAAAAGACCTTATACTGCTATCCTAACACAGGTTATCCAGTCCACACAATAATTTCCTATTTCTTTCAAATCTATTTATTATCATCATCCCATTTACACACAGGTCTTTCGAATGGTTTCTTCTCTTGAGGTTTCCTGATCAAAGTTCTGTACATTTCTAATTTATTCTACATGTTCTACTTATCTCATCATTCTTGATTTAATCACAATTTGTTTATCAGTTAACAATATTATGTTTACAGCACAAACCATGAAATTCCTCACCATGTAATTTCAAAACCTGTGTGATTACCTCCTGTATAACACAATCAGCAAATGACATTAAACAAACCATTAGCTGCTTGCCCTCTTCACTGAGAAGCACACTTTCTAAAGTCTGTTGTATGAACAGGCCTTCCTCTAAGTCATCCAGGAAACGATTCAAGTCCGTAATATATTTGTGCAAACTCTCAAACACCAGGTAGAAACGTGTGAGAATTTCAGTGTAGTTTTCTCTGAATTCTTCATCCAAGTCTTGTAATTGCTATAATGGAACACAACACATTTCTACATTACTTTTAATGGGAAGGTGAGAGTAAAAAATTGTAAAACAAGTTCATAATGATCTGTCAACTGAAACACAAGACTTTTAATGATAGTCCCAACATAATATTTATAAATCATGAAGACCCCAAATTAAATACGAGCTGCAAAATGTGCACTGCCACATGGAGAAATCATATATATGTTTTTTAAGTATGGGACGATCCTTAACTTGTGCAACCTATATTACTGTCAGATTTCTCTCGTGCAAAAAAAATAATATTTAATTAATTACATACATTTGGTATTACTGGAACATGGCAAGCATATGTTGAGCTGCCTACAAGCAACAATGCAATGAACAGATTTCAACAACATTCATTGCAGTCACCAAGAAACTAATTACAAAACTTGGTTACTAAGATGGATTAATGTACAAATATGCAAAAAGGGTTATTAATGTTACATTCTAGAATAAGTATAGTTTATGTTCTTACAGTTAGTCTCAGCAAAAACACCAAAATGTTGTTTCTTCAGCCTTCTTTCAACTTCCTTCTAACTTTTACTAATGCAATAATCAGCACAGTCCATTTGTCATCATGGCAGATATGTATGAACTCACACTCTGTGTGTGAGCGGAAATATACAATATACAAAAAACAGTAATATGCCAGATGGTAATACCATAGATGGAGGCAGTGTGCTCAGTGAAAGACTACCAGTAAGCCACAGGTAGGGGGCTGGAGGTGAAACAGAAGTAAAGCTAAACTCAATTCTTCATCTTTCCTTTTAATTTTCTATTTTAATAAAAGGTTTATATTTCTAGTGATGAAAGCCAGTACTTACAGGGTTACTGTCTATTTTCTGATCAAACTCATCAGACATTTTAAAGTAGCTGAAATCTGAAATGATTTCTCCATACTTCTGTTGGTCTTGTTTTGTTTCTAGCCTAAAAATAAATAAAACATTGCAATGTTGTATTGTATACATTAATAAAGATAGTAATAACATGATGTAAAGTTGCTCCTGTAATCAAACACCATCTATGAAAGTGCAAAAATGGTGTGGAGGTAAGAACACACATATTCATAATCTCACAATTATATGGAGGGTTATTAGTCACATTCTGACTCTACCAACATTTCCCCTAAGAAATCACACACAATAAATGTTAATACTATAAAATTCCAGGTGAATCCCTGAGCTACAAACTGCAAAGTGGAGGTTATACACAACTGATATGGATGGAAATTAAATTTACTCTACAAATCTGGTGTAGGCTTCCTGCATCAATTAAACTGAAATCTACTTATTTCTTTCAAAATAAAATATGTGGACAGGCAGACTTTATGTAAAGAATGCATATAAGCTTACCTGAAAACTGGTGGAATATAATCTTTGAGACGCAGAAGTTCCGCAATAATCGCATTCCCTCTTGAGACAAGACGAAGGATACTCTGTCCACAAGGGTTATTCTCAGCAAGAAATTCTGCCATACTGTTGCAGTTTTCAAATGTAATGGACTTCAAGGCATTTTAAGCAGGACTTTTATATTGTACAATTCTACTCTGAAAGAGTTGATGAATAAATGTATGTCATAAAATTTATAACATTGTAAACTTTTTGTTTTTGTTTGTGGGGTAAAACGCATGTCAGCTTCTAAAGCTATCTGAGCCTGTCTATTATTTGACCCTTTAAAATTATTTAGCATGTTGGAGTGCTTAAGTCTTTGGGTAACTGGTAGGATGGTGAGGACATATAGCAACACATTCTTTCGAATGAAGAGTTCTATTTCTTGTTACCCTTAAAGGGTCATCCGCACCCCAAAGTTCCAACCATTTCAGTTTAAATATGACAAACTTTTTGTTGAGAATGAAAATCTCTTAAGTAAGATTTGAGGTTTTCACAGCAGTGAGTATGAAGATTTCTGTCTTCTGGGTTGTTGTGCTGTGTAGTCTGGTCGATGTTAATCAACGTTCCAGAGGTCATACTGCCTCCATCGTCAGGGCGCCCTGATGATGGAGGCAGTTTGACCTCTGAAACGTTGGTTAACATCGACCAGACTACACAGCGCAACAACCCAGAAGACAGAAATCTTCAGAATCTCATAAGTTCTTTCTAAAACGAACGAAACACGAAAGGGACGTTAGGAGATGGGTAGTAGCAGCTTTGGGAACGACGGCTCGATCCTGCCCGTTACTGATTGTACTTTCCCCCAAAGTTATATTTACAGAAAAAAACAATATCAAATGTAAAACACAATTAATATCAAACATGTCGAACTGCCAACAAATATAAAATGGGTATGAAAATAAAATACCAAACCACAGACCGTTAGTAGCCTGTACCTTATCTCGTCCAATTATACAACTAGGTTGGAATCCGAATCGCTCATTATAATTATTTATTTAAAAATATCCTATAACGTAAACATACTTCGTAGTGCCACACCAGATGCTATTTACGCCACAGTCACTGATTTAAATAGTAAAATATGCAGCCACATCAGAGAAATGAGTTAATGAATATAAGAAAAGGTTACAAAAACTATATTTTGTTAGCAATTAATCTACACATGGTCCGCCTACTTTCCTGGAGAAAATATTTCACTTTATGGATATGCTTACAAATCCTCATATTGTATTTTCCGATGGGAATTTCATTTTTGATGTATGGCATTTCTGATCGTCTTCTGCTAAATCATGGCGACCCAAGAAACTGTTAGGAAAGTGTTGCAACAAGTAAGACCAATTTTGTCCGTTGATCGTAACGAGGCAAGGAAAAGAGTTTTTAATTTATACAAAGCATGGTACAGACAAATTCCTTACGTTGGTAAGTGTCGTATATATTTTGAAACATTCAAGTAACGCAAACATAACCAACAAGTTTAGAAGTTGATATATTATTAGTGTATTTTAGTTTATTTTACTGACAAACAAAAGTAATCTTACTTTGCAAAATATAAGGAGAATAATAATCGGTGTTATGTTTTCGCTTATAGTGGATCGTGCAATTGGACAGTGATTATTATATATAGATTACAGGTGTAAGGATTAATGGCCATAGGATGTTTAGAACTGGTTGTACCAGCAAATCATATTTATAAATTTTATCTTAGCAGAACAAGGAAAGATTTTGCAAGTATTAACAGTAACCTACAAACTCCTTGATCTTTTATCATCTGTAAGCAATAACTTTTACAAATAGAGCCAAAACTTATTAATTGGATTCAGTTATTGCTATCATAGTGACATACAAACCTGTAAATAACGTGGCATAAGGTAACTTGTGTTAGAAACACTAAATTGATAAACTAGTACAACCATAAGTAAAAGTAGAAGTTTGTGCAAGAGACCAAGTTATTTAAGTAGTTGATTTTCTTGATTGCATTAATACCCTCATAACATCTGCATGTGACTTATGTCAATTTAATAATAAATATTATCAGGAATTTACTATAGGATTGCATATGCAAATAGGCACTATCTTTCCACTTCATTATATGAAGATTTGGATAAGTTTCTGACATCAGTATTTTTAACTTTTCTAGTGTTGGACTATGATATTCCTAAATCAGCGAAACAGTGCCGAGCCAAACTCAGAGAAGAATTTGAGAAACACTGTTATATTACAGATATAAGAGTAATTGATATGCTTGTTATTAAGGTAGGTATACAAGATATATTAGTATGTTACATTTATAGTAAAAGTCATTTTCTTAATGACTTGTAGGGGTTCAAGTATTACAGATTATAGAGTTTTTACAGAATTGTCTGATTCATTAGACCACGAGCAAACTAAGAGATTTCCCCACAATAGGAACAATGATAACCCAAGAAATATTTTATTTGCTTTCATTCAGATTCTTGTAATCAGTTATGTATGGAACCTTCACCCTTGCCACCCTTAAGGCATACAGGGGCATGAAGATACAGCTCCAGATATTCTAGATCTCAGCACTATGGAGTTGAGCTTCATACTTTGGCCCCTTTTTATGTCTGGGAAGGTAACTCCCAGTTAATAGGCTAATGGACCATTAAGCTAATCTGTATGTGGTGGCAAAAGGTTCCTTTGTCAAGAAACAAATCATGTGCATATATCCCACATCGAGTTACGGAGCTGCCATGGTTGATGCAAATATTAAGAAAATAAAGTTCCTAAAATGGTTTGACTAGTTTCATGAACAATGCAACTCAAATTAAGAGATGATCTTGAGTGTCTAACACTTCTACTAAGTAATCAACATGCCTGACCTCTGATCTCCTGAGAAATTATGGGCTCCATTTCTAAGTTGGATGGTACTTACAAGATTAACTTAATTACCTTGACAATGGCAAGGCACTTACCAAGGTGATTTTCTGTTCCCTTATATAAGGATGATGAAAATAATAATGATGTGTAGCAGAGGATATAATAGCTTAATGTCATGTCCAATCCATTATGGAGACCTGTTATTCATTTTAATTTTGTTTGTTTTTCAGGGTCAGATGGAACTTAAAGAAACTGTTGAAATTTGGAAGCAGAAGAGCCATGTGATGTCATATTTCAAGG